TCAGAAAATTGTGAAAAATCAGAGGAGTCAGAGATGGACTGACACAAGACCACATCGTCAGCATACTTGAAGAGAGAAGTAGGAGCACAAGCATACAAGTCACTAATGTGCGTAGAAAATAAGTATGGGAAAAGAACTGTACCTTGGAGTACTTCAGAGCTGTTCAACAACGGTTTGGATTTTTTCGACCTAACCTTGTACACTGAGTTCTCCCGTAGAAGTAATCGGCAAGCCAAGCTAATAGCTGTCTGGGACAACCAAAAGTCTCTAGTTTATGAAGAAGAGGAAGGGAACGGGGAATAGAATCAAAAGCAGATGAGTAGTCCAGAAACACACAACGGACAGATTTCGCAGAGTCATTCAAGGATTTGGTAATTTTATGTAAAAGGGAGGAAACTGCATCCAGCGTGCCTCTGTTTGGTTTATAAGCAAATTGAAGAGGATCATATGGGACATCAATAGAGGACTGAATGCGCTTAAGAACAACACGTTCCGCTAGCTTAAGTCCAACAGAGGTTAAAGCAATAGGACGAAAGCGTTTGGTTAGAACGTTTGAAGTAGAGGATTTGGGAATGGTAACAATTGTTACTGGTTTCCACGGATTCTACGGTATTCATGGATCCGTTCGGACAAACGCCTGACCGTGCGGCCTATGTACGTGGTTCCACATATTACATTCTTCACTACTACTCACAAGTACCTGTGAGTTAATTGCGACCCTCAAATTGTTATCATTAAATGAAATGGAAAAGGATAGACAGTACCGGAAACCGTACTTGACAGTGCAGACCAGATCAAAAACTGGGAAGAAAAAGATGGTATCTATGGATCTAACAGTGTCAAACGTAAATCCCATTCTAATGCAATAGGGACTTTCCTCTGATATTACTCCATGTGGAATCTATCCAATAGGGTAGTTTCATACAAAGTGAGAAGTCAGAGAGGTGGTATAGTGTGATACGATATTGCATCGCACGTGAAAGGATAGTATACGTCTTTGGTTATTTGTAAACATCATACATCAAAGAGCCTTTGGGAAAACGTGTGAATAGCCTATCGAATCTTGTCTGATGGTGAGTTATCTGAAAACCAGGCATATAATAGCTTCTGGTCAATTTAAAATAAAGTTCTCAGTAACTAATATTACAATGTGAATGACATTCAAATGAAATAAACTCCACCCTCGAACTATACATCATATTTTATTCCTTTCATGTTGCGCCTAAATAGTTCAATGCTTAGCATTTCTGTGTCTTCCAAAGTAACATTTCCCCATCGTTGGTCATCATAAGCACCAATATAACTAATATTATGGTAGAACAATGGATGATCAATTTGGTGGCACAAACAAAACTTGAAAACTGACCAGATGAACCGCAGTGACAATGTGAAAGACACCTCGCGACATACGAAGGGAGTTTCATTAACAAAACACAATAGCATTCCTAGACTCGCCAAGTGGTCAGCAAAATGCCTCAGGTCGAAGAGTGAATTTCAAGTTGCCAATCGAAAAGAGAGCCGTACACCACACCGACTAGGACGATATCACTTTGTGACAGTAGCACTTTGAACCACAGTGAGTGAGAAATCGCAGTTGGATAATCAATTACTTCACATTGTAGTTTACTGCTAAAATAGGGTAACATACCGCCACCCGTTATAGAGCGATCGCGTCTGAGAAGGGTCATACCACATAGGCGTAATTCGGAGTTCAGAATATCGGTTTTCAGTCAAGCTTAAACAAAATCACTAGTGTCCCATCGACCAGTTTGGTAATGCGGTTCCATTTCTGAAAAGTTGATGAAAAAAATCTTTGAAATTGGTGAAGAAACAAGTCAGTTGATAGCGGAGCCGAAGTTTATTGTGAGTTGAAGCAGTAATTGAGCCGACCGTATTGCGGTCGACTGGGGGAAAGAACATAAAATTTGTGGTAGTCCCTCCTGTGTGGTGGTGATATTTTCTGCCGGCGGACAACTTTTGGATCCTGGGCTCTTCGTGGGTCTCAAACGCAGTTCTGGTGGACCTTTGTTCTTCTTCTCGTACCAAATTCACCTGCATTATCCTCGGGGCCGTTCCCGTTGTAGGCTTGAAT